CCCCAAAACCCCAAAACCCCAAAACCCCAAAACCCCAAAACCCCGGGAGATTGATTATATATAAGCTCCAAATATCAAAAAATTGTTAATATAAATTTAAAACTTTAAATGCAAGACTCAGTTTTAAGCAAAAATTAAGAGCGGTACCTTTATCATAACCATTTTTTACTTGAGTTTTAGACTTGATCAAGATATAAGCAACCTAAGTAATCAAAAAAGTGGAAGTAACAACAAAGCTAGAGGAATGGCTTAAAGAGATCAAATTTAATACGATCAACTGTAACTTTGCTCATTGGAAGTCCAAAATTTCAAATCATTTGAGGGACATCATGTAATAGGGCCATGCTTGTCGTTTACTGCAATAGTGGGTCCAAACGGAGGAGGTATATCATTATTGATCTTAGCTATAATTCATCATAGGGAAGTCGAACATTTTGGATGGTATTGCTTTCTGCTTACTTTTAAAACATATCTCAAAGAAGCACAAACATTTGAATGAATTGATTTACAGAGAGGAGCATGAGAACTATAAAGAGAACAGAAGAGAGATGTCAGTCAAGCTTAACTTCAAAGCAGTATAAATCCTTTCAGGCTAGACCCAAGAATTCAGTCTAAAGAGAATGATAAATGCAAATGGAATCCAAGAGTACTTCTTCAATAATCAGCCGCTATTAGCTGAAGAGTATCTTATGAAGATAAATGACTATCATCTTAATATCAACAACTTTTGTGCCTACTAAGGTAAACTTGAAGAACTTTGCTTCAGACAGGAAGGCCAACATCTTGTCCAAATGTTTGAGGAACTATCAGGTTCACTTCAGTTTAAGCCTCAATGCGATCAACTAAATTAAAAGATAGCCAAATGTGATGATCAAATCAAGGATGACACTGAAATACTGCACAATCTTAGAATCGAGAAGGTCAAACTTAAAGGACTTCAGGACTTTGTTGAGTAGATGAAAGATTGTCTCCAATAGTAGAAGGAAATCGAATCCTAACTTCACTTTTCTGATATCTTATTATCTGAGAAGAACATTAGATACTATGATGAGTAGCTATCCACTTATACTAATAGCTTCTAAGAGACTATTCAGATGAGATAAGATGTACTAAATGAAATGAGAAAGCAAGAAGCTGAGATGAAAAAGCTCTAGAATTAGGAGGAGAATACCCAGAAAAAGCTAAAGTCAAAGAAAGATGAACTCCTTTCAATGCAGAGCAACTAATTCAATAAGTAAAAAGAGATAGACAGCACTAAAAATATGATCACGTAGAAAAGGAATATGCTTCACCAATTTTAAAGTGAAGTTGATTAGGTACAACAAAAGATTAAAGAAAATAGATAGAGTATTGAAGCTTCAAGGTAAAAACTGAACACTATTAATGAGCAAATGATTGATAATGAAGATTTAAAAATGCAGGATTCAATCAGAGATGAATACTTGACAATAAAAAGTAAAATTGAATCAGAGAATGCTTAGATTGGCAGATAAATGGCTTTGATAGAGTAGAAAATAAACTATCTCAACCAAAGGAAAGCGAATTTCCAGGGACAAATTTATTAGCAAAAGAATTAGAATTCTAAGGTATTAGACTTTGAACATCAATAGATAGAAATTAATGAACTCAAGAAAGAGTAAAAGGCAAAGGAACAGGAATTGAAGCAACTGCATAGTAGCCTAGCATAGCTCAAGGATCAGTAAGTTAATAATAAGGACTCTATTAAAGTCCTAGAAAAGACTCTACTTGAGAAGGAATACGAGTTGAAGGACTTTGAAAATGAGAAGCAACTAAAATCGTAGGATGTAAAGCTATCTCAGATTTTGGAAGAACTAAAGAAAAGATGCAAGGGATACCTGGGCTAACTCTATGAATTAATCAAGCCTATTAATGCTTAGTATGATATCGCAGTGAAAGTAGCTCTTAGCAAGTGTCTGAGATTTCTAGTAGTGGATACACCTCAGACTGCTGAATACTGTACTGAGTTTCTAAAGGAAAAAGGGCTTTTCAAGGATGTGCTTGTACTTTCTAATGTTCCAGAGAGACACTTAAACTCAAAGCTAGTAAAGGATATTAAGCAGGATGGCAATCTAGTCTACGATGTATTGGAAGTGAGCAGGAGACATTAGCATCTAGACAAGGCTATAAGATACTTTGTGGCAGATAAGGTTGTTTGCAAGAACTTTGACACAGCAATCAAGCTTCAAAGAATGGGCGTCAAGGATATAGTCACAGAGGATGGGACTGAATTCAAGCAGGGCATGATTAGTGGAGGTCAGCACACCAACATCTTCAACCTGAATCTTGGTAACTTTAAGATGGACAGAGACATCAAAAGACTAGTAGACGAGATATCAAACTTGGAATAGAAATTGAATGCTCTTAAAGAGGTTGAGAATGGGGATAATGGAATACTTAAGGTTATGAGAGATATATCCAGAGTTGAAACTGAAGTGGAATTGATTAAACAAAAAATAGTCGAAAAGGATAAAGAGACGAAAAATTATAAGGAAGCACAATCAGACTTTTAAAAATCAGTCTAGACTTTGGAGAAACAAATCCAAGAGATATAAAAACAACTAGATCAAGCAACTTCTACTAAAGACGATCTTCAAAGAGACCTTAGTGAAGCATAAACAGATGCCTATTCTAAATTCGTTTAAAGACTAGGCTTTAAGAGCATCTAGGACTATGAAAATTCACAGCAAAACCAGTAAGTTAGCAGTCTTAATGAGGAAAAGAATAAACTGCTCCAGACAATCTCATAATGTGAGAAGGAAATAGAGTTCCTTGAAAGAAACGACAACTTTAAGAGCATGCAGGCTCTTGAGGCTGTTCTCAAACAAGAAGAAGACAAACTTCACAGTCTTATTAGCGGTCAATATCACGGGGACATGGTGCAAAAACTTCAAGTAGAGATAAAGGATCTGGACTCTGAGATCCAACTCATTAAGAAGAACATATAAGATGTCAATAGCAAGCAAATGTCTCAGAAGAGCCAAAATGAGAGTTTGTAGAATAGACTTGAGCACTTTCAAAAAGAAATCAACATCAATAAAATCCAACTAAAAAATGAGTAACTCGTTAAGCAAGCAAGGTTTGAAGAAGCCTAACTTAGCCATATGATTGAAAATAATGCTAATGATATTTCTCAACTTGACTTCAATCACAAACTAGGCATTGAAAACATAGATGAGATTACTATAGAGGAAGTCTAAGAGCTTATTGCCATAAAGAAAGAAAAGCTAAGAAAACTGAAGTTAAAGGAGGACGAATTCAACAAAAATGCTGCTCTTGTCCCTGAAAGTGATCCTAATGTTGCTCTAATCAATGACAAGATCACCTAGCTCAAAGATAATGTAGATAAACTGAGTTAGGAAAAGCAGCAATACGTCAGTGAATTGAAAAAACTATCAGAGTAGAGATTAAACCTATTCTTGATGTTCTTTGACAACGTAGCCTCAATCATTAATGATGTCTATGCCGAACTCACAGTAAAAGATTCAAACCTAAATCAAGGTGGCAAAATCAGCATCTTCATTGAGGACAGATCAAATCCTTTCTAGAAGAACATCCATTTCTTCCCTATGCCACCATCTAAATCACACATCTATGATGTTTCCTAACTATCGGGAGGTGAGAAAACTGTTGCAGCACTTGCCTTGATATTTGCTTTGATTTAAGTCAGAAAGCCTCCTTTGTTAATTTTAGATGAAGTTGATGCTTTCCTTGATTAGGAAAATGTGCATCTTGTCACCGGCTTCATCAAAAATAAGTTAAAGACCCAAGTCTTGATTATTAGTCACAAGGAAATAGTGATTAAGCACACCGACTCCTTAATTGGAGCATCATTTTCCAAGGATCAAAGAACCAGTCTTACTCACAGTTTAGACCTCAGAAAGTATCTTGACAAGTGATTAGTTATTGATTAAATCTTAATTTCTTATAAATTGAATCATACTCTATGTGTTGGGGTTTTGGGGTTTTGGGGTTTTGGGGTTTTGGGG